TGTCGTGTTGATGGTATTTTGTAATTTTAGAGTAGGTTTTATAATTTCGACAATATCGCATAAGTTTTACTTCATCAAGATAAAGTGTCTAATTACAGTCATATCTGATACTAATTAGGTAAGGATTTATATACATTATGTGCCTTTTTTTTACTCTAAAAATTCGAGCCGTCAATAAGGGTCATGGCAATTGACTATAGTTTAACACGATCAATAAAAAAAAATTTATACTAAATTAAAAAAAAGATAAAATAAATAGAATTTAATTATGCTTTATAAAAAAAAAAGGTGTGCGCATATATATATTTTTAAGTTCATCCCTTAAAGATTTTGAGAAAATTATAACTCGAATTACTCGCTCTCAAAAGATTGACCCTAACGGAGATACCATTTATTATCTTCAAGAACATATAAATTACTTAAACTGGCAAATTAGAAGATGTAATAAGGAATCTCATATCAATCTTTTAAACCAAGAAATACAACAAACCCAAAATCTTAAAGAGAAATTAAGACTAAAGGAGATTACAATTGAAAAAGCCAATCAAGAGTTAGACAAACTACGAAAAGAAGTAAAATTGCTTAAAGAAATAATCGACCAAAAAAATGAAACTATAAACAATTTATGAGAAGAAAATGAAACCTTACGAAGTACAAACGAAGAAACTCAAGCTACAAACATTTAACTTGTTGCCCAAATTGAATACTTACGTGATAGAAATAATAGCTTCCGCCAAGAACGCCATGTAAATTGCAACAATTTTATATTAAGCCAACAAGAACACATAGAAAACTTGCAAAGATCAATATGGGTTAAAGAAGAATCAGACCATGACTTTTGTAACCAGAGAATAATCCGTTTAGAAAACAGAATATCCTACTTTAACGATCGGGAAAGACAGCGTGCACAGGGAATTGAACTGGCACCATATTTTCCTAGAAGTGATGCTTTCTTCGGTAAACAAGAGTTTGATCAACAATTTAATCATTAAATATGTATTACATATTATTCATAGATACATCAAAAAAAGATTTGTTTTTTTTTTGAAAATTCATTTTAAAATAATTTTATTATAATATTTTTTATTGTGCTTAATAATTTTTAGTTATCACAGTAAAAACAGTCTGAGTTCGAATAACTTTGATAGATTATATTTAATAAAATCATAGGGTTCGTTACGAAAGCTCTAATCGAACCTACTTAAACATTTAAGATAAAATAATATTTTTAATAATTTTCAAATCTAAATAACTTTATCAATTGTAACTTTAACAAGAAAAATAGCTCTTATGAGAGCTGAAATAACATAATTAGCGGACCAACGGTCGAACACCAATCACCAGTGGACTAACCATCAGAATTTTTTATTCGCATCAAAGAGAACGGACAACGATCAAACGTACTCTATTTGGGCAGACCACCGCACGAATTGCATGAAATGGCCAACAACTGTTTTTTTCTGGCCCGCAATCTAGTACAAAAGAATATAACTCTTATATATTGAATCCTCATACACTTAAGCCTCAAAATATTCACCTTGGCTAAAAATTCACGAATATCAAGT